ACTTCACACACACAAGGTACATCATGTCACAAATATGTATGTGCATTTGTTTCATGATCTCATTAACGATAGCCAAATGGCGGCCGCTTTAAGACTGAAAATACATTGAAATCGCACATTTTCACCATTCCGGACCTGGATCTCAGTTATGCATGGATGGATTTTGTTCAAATTTGGTACATACATTAAACATAATAGGACCTTGATGCACGTCATTTTTTTGACTGGCGCCCATTTTGTTTTAAAGAATTCAGTTCTGGATCCGTATCCGAGACATGTCTGGATTGATCAAGTTCAAACTTCACACACACAAGGTACATCATGTCATAAATATGTATGTGCATTTGTTTCATGATCTCATTAACGATAGCCAAATGGCGGCTGCTTTAAGGCCGAAAATGCATTGAAATTGCACATTTTCACCATTCCGGACCCGGACCTCAGTTATGCATGGACGGATTTTGTTCAAATTTTGTACATACATTAAACATAATAGGACCTTGATGCACGTTATTTTTTTTTTCCGGATCAAGTTCGAAATGGCCGACTGGGGGCCATTTTGTTTTAAAGAATTCAGTTCTGGATCCGTATACGAGAGATGTCTGGATTGATCAAGTTCAAACTTCACACACACATGGTACATCATGTCACAAATAGATATGTGCATTTGTTTCATGATCCGCTTAACAATAGCTGAATGATGGCCATTTTAAGGCCGAAAATGCATCAAAATCATGTATTTTCACAATTCCGGAAACCGGATCTCAGTCATGCATGGATGGATTTTGTTCAGATTTAGTACAATGTGTTGTACATATACAGGTGCATTTCGGTCATGATCTGCTTTGAATGTATATGTCACTCAAATATGAACGGAACGGGGACGTGTCATTGACAATGACTTGTTCCCTATATTTTACATTCAACTCGTCAAAAATCAGTGAAAATAAAATCCATACAAAACACCAAAAAGTCTATTCAGCGAAAATTAATTCAAGCTAAAATAAATTATTGAACAGTATATATTTTGTCCCCAGAAATTACATTCAAGCATTCATTTCATGCTTGTGAACATCCAGTGTATGGCAATTTCCAACTTTTCAAACTTGCTTAGGTAAATTAAATTGTCTTTGTCTTACAGGTAAATATACATGGGGTGTTGGAACTAATCCAGGAAATGACGACGTTGTTAGTTTTCATGATATCCCACATACAGTATTACAGCTATGTAGTATGAATATCAGCTTGACTCACAACACAACATATTACTCTACAGTCTTTGCTTATAATGCTGGTCACAAACGACTCAATGTATCTGTAATCTCAAATGGAGGTATGTTACAATGTCTTTTATTCTGCACATTAAAGAGTCGGTTTATGTTTACATATTTGTTATATTTAGTACCATATATATGTACTAAATGACAGAGATACACCTCCTTGTCATGACTAGTCATGTTTCAATGACTGAGTTTATGTGCGCCTCTATTGCAGATGCACTTCTAATAGAGCAAATACAGTAAGTAAGTTGGTTCAAAAAACATTGCGATACACAGACAAATAACTTAAATAGAAAATAAAGTTTTGACATGATTATATGTGACCTTGGTTTAAAGCCATTTATGACAGAAGTTGGACTCATTGGCATGTAATGTCATTTGGTTTGTTGTCCATGATTACTTAATGTTCTGTATTTCTTTCTTTCCAGTACTCTATGATGCCACACCTCCAATGACAGGTGAACTACGTGATGGTTTAGATCCTCATACTGATATGATGTATTCATCAGAATCATCATCGGTATCAGCTAACTGGGATGGGTATGATGACCCAGAGTCTGGAATTGGAAAATATGATGTCAGTGTCTATAGAAGACATGCTGACATAGGTAGGTTCAAGTTAACAGAATTTTGTAGTCTTTACATAAACTTTGCACATCATATCGCACATAAGCACATGCATTGGTTTTGTAATCTGAAAGGTGGTCATTTTAGTGCCAACAAATCAGGCATTTCAGTCTGTTATTCTGGAACTGGATCTCAGTCATGCATGGACATATTTTATTCAAACTTGATATGTACATATAATGGGTGCTTGATACACGTCATTTTTTTCCTCAGATCAGTTTGAAAATGACTATCTCTTGGCCATTTTGTTTTAAACAAATACAGTTCTAGAGTCACATCTCTGACATGCTTTGACTAAACTCATTCAAACTTTATACACACATCATATCATACCATACATAAGCATGTGCTTTTGTTTGATGACCCAATTCATGATGGTGGCCATTTTAGTGCTAAAAATTCATCAAAATGTGGAAACTGGAACTGGATGTTGGCTGTGTACATGTATGTGCATATTCCTTGATGCATGGATGTTGTATGTCAACGATGCTCTTCAACATAGCAATCGACTTCGCTGGCGATTTAGCATTGGTCTTGTATACGCACCAACACATGCAAGAGAAGACGATCGACCCAACCTGAAAATCAGCCCGAAGAAAACAAGGTGATGTTGCTCATGAACCTCTCACTTGTCACAGTGAGCGTAGAAGAGCTATCAACAACAGAAAAATTCACCTACCTTGGGAGCATGGTGAGGTACGATGGTGGAGCAGGCAGCAACATCAAAAACTGACAAAATGCCTCCATAATGCTGAACAATGTGTAGAAGTCATCCCAGTACAGCACCAAACCAAATTTAGACTGTACCAGAGCTACGTTCTCTCCACCTTGCTGTACCGATCGGAATGCTGGAGGATGATGGAAAGGTATCTCAACAAACTGTCCACCCTCCACACCAAGAGCTTCCTGTAGATATTTTGGCCTTAAGCTATCTGCATCCATCAACTGCTAGCTCGCTGCAACCAGGATAGCATGGAAACCATCATCTGGCGATACTCTCACCCACATAGCCCTGCATTGGACACCAGAAGGAAGACATAAGCTGGAACGACCCAAGAACCCCTGGGGACGAACCATAGAAGCGGGGTTGAGGACCTTCCAACATACCTTGGGAACCATACAGAAGCTAGCTGGGGACAGGCAGGTGTGGCAAACCCTCGTTGCTGCCCTACATGCCAAGTTGACATTTGGGCATGAGTGATGAGTGAGTGAGTCCTTGATGCACATCTTTTTTTTCCAGATTTGATTCAAACTGGCTGACTGATGGCCATTTTGTTTTTAATGAATGTTGTTTTTGATCTGATTCAAGATGGTGTGCAAACAAGCTTGGCAAGAAAGCTAGTGGATATTAACCATCCTAGAAGGAGAAACAAAATATATTTTTATGTCACTGTATAAATAAAAAAACAAACCTGAAAACACAGATACTTTCATCTGTTTATGCAAACTATGCCCTGGACTGTTGAGGAAATACAAGTCACATCAGTCTTTCATTGATCACATTTCATAAATAATGTAGTACTACTCACTACAAAAACAGAACAAATTTGTCTCTCTTTATTCACGCTCTGTAGACATACTCCCACACCACAATCGAGTGACTTAGTCAGGAGGCTACGACTAGGACAGTGGCATCAGTGGCAGAATCTAGAAACATGCATTCTAGATGGAACACTGCACAGAGCGTACTTTAGCATACAGAGTAGATGATGATGCCCTCAAAAAATCTGATTTTGAAATTTGTTGTTATTGGCAATAAAATACTTGTTACCCAACAATTGCTCTTAATTTTAAATGGCTTTTCCTTTATTGTATTCATATCCATGGTACATGGCCTTGATGCTCAATAAGGGGATACCATTTCATGAATAATCTGCTGCAATGACGTCATAAAATCCACTGGTATTGATAATGCTATATTATAATGTATAATAAAGTTGTGATGTCATAAAAAGCTCTGATAGTGGTGATTTATAATGGAAAATAGTTGGTCTTTCAAATTAAGGTTAAAAGAGTATTTTAAAATTGTGATCAAAAGATGCAGGTTGTATGTTGACAACTTTTAGTAACAGTGATAATATTTAACAGTTTCTTGTTTATTGGATTTTTTCTTATTTCAGATAGCACCAACGCAACATCTACCATAGAACTCATCCATGGTGTTACATCTCTAACGCCAGATACCAATTACATCAACTGGCATCACTTCCATTTACATCATGGAGACTTTGTTTATGTGCAACTGGATGCTGTCAATAAAGCTGATAACCCGACAACTACACAGTCTGACGGTTTCACTATTGATATGACTAATCCCATCATGCATTTCTTGGGAGATGGAGTAAATACTGGTGTGGATTTACAATATTCTGTAAGTATTCTAGATACAAAGATAGGGTGACCAGGGAGTTGTGTTGTAAGTATTCTAGAT